CTGATTGCCTTTTCAGCTGCTGATCCTTGTTTGGGTCTGGAGTAGTCCCAAGGCCTCCTGTTCTCTGTGTACCCATAGAGCTTCCGCAGGGCCACGCGGGCAGCTTCCTCCTCTGCAGCCAGCAGGGTTTCACCAGGGCCTTCAGCTAAAATCTTCTTATCACTTGGGGGAGAGAAAACAAAATCACCAACATTTTCACCATGAAGCTCTGAGCACTGCTGTGCTCTGGGAGTAAGAGCTGACAGATTACTTTTTCTCCAGGGTCTGTGAATACTGAAGGTAATATCTACACATACACACTGTAAACATTTCTGTTGGTCTTTCCTGCAGAGATAAGTGATTGTGTATTCAACAATGGAAACTCAGATCAGAAATGTGTCCATTTCCTGGAAGAACACGACTCTGCTCATTTTGATTCCTGACACAGCACTGACTCTTTAAAGCATTCAATTTGTTACCTTTGTTAAAAATATCCAACCCCATTATTCTGGTTAGCTTAAACAGGAAGGGAAATGCTTTTGTCTTGCTCCTCCCTTGGCAAGGAAACATCTTCAAACTACTTCAAAAGGACTGACAGAGCAGCACTCTCTGTTATGCAGCACGTGCTCAGCTGTTTAGTCAACACCTATGGGCAGTGAATAGGAACAGTTCGTGAAGGGACACCAGGGATCCCAGAAGAAAACAATCAGTGTTACTTTTTTTAATAACACAATAAAACTTCGAAGGTATATAAAACAAAGCAGGATAAATCAGTACGATTTAAGGTAACCAACCCATGTTGGTTACCTTATTTGCAGCTCATTTAGAGATGCAGCAGTGATGGGGGTTTTGTCCTGCCCCAGAGGAGCAATGTCATTCCTGGGCAAGAGACCAGGATGAGCACTGACCACACCTGACACACAGGAACCAGGGACAACAGGCACTTACTAACTCTTGTCTGCACACACACACTCCTCTTGCCTTGTTTACAGTGCCTGTGATTTGAAAACTAAAAAGCTTCTCTGGAACACGAAATGAGTCTCTCTTCAATCCCACCTCCCTTGATGTTTCTCTGTCCTTCCCTCAACACTGGATACAGCTGTGTTCCCTCCAAAGCCATGCAGTCAGGCTGCTGACAAAGCTCCTGTGTCAGAACACACACAGACAGGCTCTTTGGTGCACCTCATTTAGCCTCTAAAGCTCTTTAGTCAGAGACTGTTTTTATATATCACCACAGAGAGCTGTGGTCAATGTTTAAATGGCTGATTTCAGATGGAAGTCACTGTAAAGTTTCTTTGCTGTACCAGCTTGACCAAAAAGCACAAGCAGAAAAGGAAAAGACCATCTTTTCTTCTCTCCTCTCCCCCAGTTAGATCCATTTCACCTTAAATTAATATTGTACTCACCAGTACAACCCAACGAAGTAGAGTGGCAGAACCGTGCTGACTCCCAACTGTCTGGTAATCCTTGGTTCAGGAGCAGAGATATTCCTCTTGGTCAGTTCTTCCACTAGTAATCCCATAGGATTTATAACTTCCCAGATCTCAAACAGGTCTTTTCCAATCAGCTGGGGAACAAGAAAATCCTAAACAAGAAAACGTAGAAGTTAGAATTAATGGCTTGGGCTTGTGGTGTCTCCTAAGGAGAATAAAGGCATTAAGAGAGCTGACAAGGAATTGCTGGAATACATCACAGAATCAACGAGCCTGGGGTCAGCAACAGGCTCTGCCAAGCAAGAACTCACCCACCCGATGAGTTCTGCACAAAGGCTGAAGGGAATGTGCAAACCTGTTCAGCTGTTTGGATCCCTCTCCTGCCTGTAAGCTGCCAACTGCACTTACAGAGACCTCTCAGTGTTGTTGCATCAGAAAAAAAGACTGATAAAAAGACACTTCTCCACTGCAAAACTGAAGTGAAGAGGATAGCTGAAACTGCTTTGTTACACTGAATTTTAACAGAACATTTTTCTATGGAGTATCTTTAGGTTCTTGCACTCCTACATGCAAAACCTATGAACTCAGCCCCTGTTCACACAGAGTGTGTTGTTTTAAATGGAAGAGATATGTGAGCTCACATGAAGTAATTTCATTATCTGATAGTACAGGGCATGGAATATATTTCCCTTAGCAAGTGCCAGCAAATACTAATACCCCCATTTTATGTACTCAATTGGCTTGTGCTTCTTAATGGAAAAAAAAAAAAGAGAAAACAAACAACCCCAAAGCCTCACCTGACCACCAGCACCACCCAACAAATCTCACTGTTAAACTGCCTCGTTATTGCCAATCTCCAGGGATCTCTGCCCACCAAGGTACCAAACATCACCCGGCTGACCTACCCTGACAAAGATTCCCGTTCTCTCAGGGCCACTGCTCCCCAGCAGGGCTCCGACCACAGCCAGGAACGTCCTCTGCAGCACCTGCGGAGGAGCAGGGAAGTCCCTGCAGAGCGCCAGGTCCTGCAGGGCCAAGTTTCGAGCCACGTGAGAGACAAGTTCCTGGCCGGTAAGAAAATTAACCAGTGCTTCTCTGCCCTCCGCAGGTAAGTCCGGGTAGGCACCTTCAAAGCACTGTGCCAGGTAGGAGCGGGAGAAGCTCAGCCCCTGCTCGGCCAGTTCGCTGTTGTCCTGGAGGTTCAGAGCCACCGTGCCCTGGTCCAGCCCGAGCCGCCGGCGCCTCGCCTCTTCGCTCTCGATGTAACACGCGTTAACGAACGCAGCCCTGAGCAGCTCCGGCGAGAAACGCTCCTGCAGGCGGTGGCTGAACGCCTGGATCTCCGCGTGGTAATCCCAGTTGGGCTTCTCGGACCTGCGGGGAGGAGAGCAAAGCAGCTGAGCGGGACTCGGCAGCGCGAAAAGAGCGAGCACTGAATTACTCTGAGCATCAAACCCAGGACTGACA